CTACCGCATCTGCGAACCGAAACAAAGAATAAGTTAAGAACGCTGAACTTAAGTCTAAACAAAGAACTCAATGAAGCTTCAAAACACAGGCTGGAGTGTTTCTACCAATCCCCCCCAAGGGTTTGCCACACCGCCTTGAAACCCGCCCGCCCGTTGAACTGCAAAGCGGAGAGAAAGAAAGAGACCGAAGCATGCAACCTCCCCCCCCTCAATATCAATTAACTCTCACTCTTCCCCCTCGTCCACCTTTCTCACCACTTTCCCGGATACTGCATTGACTGTCGCTCAATCTCGAAATTAAGACGCCCTTGTCTTCGTGAACTGCCGCCCGAGTGATCCTCCCCGACATCTCGCGCCACCGCAACAACCCACTTGTCTGGCGTCATGGTTCCCCAAATCAAGCAGGATCCAGACGCTCAGACGGCGCCATACATCAAACCCGACCCCGAGAGCAAAGACACCGTCCTCGCCGACATCGACGACGAGGACCTGTACGAAGATGCCGGCGATCTCGATTTCTCGCAGGCGCAGCGGAGCGTGTGGCTCTCGCGCCTGCCCCGGTCGCTATGGGAGCATTGGTCGAACATAACCAACAACCTGGACGACGACGAGGAGGTTCAGATCGGAACGATGAGAGTGGAAGGGACGCCGAACGATATCAAACGAGTAAGCGACCATCCCGTAGAAAACCCGGTTTGAGCTTGATTTGCCCTCTCGGGATAGCTTCGGTGTCGGGAATGAATTGCGCATGAGCTAACCACCGGGCTTCTCTCGCCTTGTAGGTCAGCTTGCGCATCCCCGAGCGAGACGATAACCGCGAAATCCCCAAAGACTATATCCTGCAGCGACAGACGATAAACACGGAAATCACGTCGCACTCGACGCAAAACACCTACCTCTTTACGGAACGAGATATCCCCGGCCAGGAAAATCGCATGGTGGTCTTCGGCGAGGCCCGCTCCGCGCTGTACGAGTCGATGAAGCGCGAGATGAAGAAGAAGGAGCGCAAGAAGAAGTGGGAGCCCTACGTGCGCAAGACTGTGCCTAGTATGTATTATTCGGGGGGACGCGCCGGGTTTGATGTTGTGGTCGCTTACACGGACACTAGAACAAACGGCGCTGGTTGGCAGTATTGGAGAAGAGTTTAACTGCCTGCCGGTTGAGAACGAGGAATTCAGAATGCTGTCGGAAAAGAAGGCAATGGAGGCGCTGAAACCCAAGCGTGAGACCGTCTTCATCGATAAGATTCCGGGCAAACTGCTCCAGTCGCGGAATGCGCTGCCGAGCGACAAGGGTGCATTTGTGGTAAGTTTTGGATTTACTGGATTTCTTGTATGCGGATCTTATGCTAAATCACCGACCAGCAAGCTACCAAGCCCGCCAAGCTCAAGGCTCAGGAGAACAAAACCACGCGTATGCCGCAGAACGAGCTGCTGGATCTCATCTACCAGGCCTTCCGCGAGTACAAGTACTGGCCTTTTAAGACGCTCAAGGCCCGGCTACGACAGCCTGAGGCATATCTCAAGCAAACTCTGGAGTTGGTGGCTCATTTGGTCAAGTCGGGAGACTTCGCGATGACCTGGGAGCTCAAGCCGGAGTTCAAGGAGAGCAACTATGCGACCGCGATGGCCTATGGCAATGCCAAGGAGGAGCTTCCTCCTGGTCTCGACTATAACTTTGATGAAGCCTCGGAGGATGATCCGATGGCGTCGGGAATGGTGACTGATAATGACGATGCACAGTTTGAGAATGTTGTCTAAAGAGCACGGAATGTATCTTGCATAGGCCATGGCGTTTTCTCTCTTCTTTCACTCTCTTTTGGGTTACTGGAGTGATGTTTTCATACAGATTTGTTTTAGATACATCTAGTGAGGGTTTAGACCACTGGCTCACCCATCACATACCAGTTATCGATTTTCATTGTATCACAATACTTAAGCAAACTTCAAGTAAGGCCAGTTCCCTTGGCCCAGCGAGGATCAACATTCTTGCCATGTACATGCTGCTTCTACACGGTTGAATGACGTAATCACGTGACTCATTTGCCGCTGACGGCTTTCGTCACTTGCTCTCCCATATCAACAACACGCTCAGTAGCTTGACTTCCTTTCACGACTCAACCAACCTTTCAAAAACAGACAACACCCTAATCTCACAGATCCTTACTAACGCGACAGGTGATCTGACTTCATCACCATGACAGAAGATCAAGATCTCATGGCTAAGATCAGCCAGCTTGCTGGTAAGCCGGAGCTTTCATTCATCTTTGCGCGCGAGCGCCCTCATCCAGCTGCAACCCGCTAAACCCCTCAACACCAGGCCAGATCAACCGACACAAAAATCAACACACCGAGTCCCCTTACACCAGCGAAATTCCCGCCGGCCAATATGTATCACGGCATGTGCCATCGCGGGGACGAGGCTGGGCACCGTATCGCGGCCGACAGTACCACCCCCGCGGCGGCCGCCCTGTCGCTGCCCCCCACCGCCACCGAACGCTCATCCTCAACAACAACAACACCACCACAGCTTCGGGAACCCCCGGCTCAACGCCTTCTGCGGGAGTCAGGACGGATACTGAAGGGGAAGCCAGCAGCACCACCACCAACAACAACAACAAATGGGTGGCGAAGCGCGACCGGCACATGCAGTTGATCAACTCGGCCATTTACGACAAGGAGGCTCAGTCGCGCGCCAAGGCGATGGAGGCGAGCCGCAAGGCAAAGTCGCAGAAGAAGGCTCAGATCGAGCAGGCCAGAGTGCTACGGTATGCGCAGGGCCATGGTCGGATGTATCAACCGTCGGGGTTCGGCGCCCCGCCGCAGGTTGCTACCACTGCTACCGCCGTTGCCGCGGTTGAGCCGGGTGCGGAATACCAGGTTCTGGTCAACGAGGTGCCCTTCCGAGTTGCGCGCGGCGGAAGTAAATTAATCAGAGTGTCTGGTGCGTGTTTCTATTTCCGGATTTTTGGTTTCTTTCTCTCTGTCTGAGGATGCTCCCCCCTGTGTACGAGAGCTGGCTTACCGATGGTAGATGATCCGAATACGGCCAACAACACGCCCAAGAGAGTCACGATCGCTGGAGTGGTCTTTGTGCGCAGCAAGAATGGTAACCTGCACCGGCTGGGTGCCGTTACGTCGAAAAGGTGACTGTCTTGTGCTGAACATTATGTGCTTGCACTTACATGTATTACAGAAAGCCGATGGCGGTTAAGAAGAAGGACGCTCTGTGCCAGCGATTTACTACGACGGGTACCGACACTTTCCCCACGATAGGCTTTCGGCCGCCTATTATCCCTTTGCTCCCCTTCCCTTTCCCGTCTGCTTGCCTTGGATGAGTTCTAACCAGACTGCGTATCGGATGATTTTTAGGCAGTTGCTACAAAGGACCCTTGTGTCCCTACACGCACGACCCCCACAAAGTCGCCATTTGCAAGGATTTTCTTCAGACTGGTAAATGCAACTCAGGTATGAGTTGCGATCTCTCCCATGAGCCTTCGCCCCACCGATCCCCTGCATGTGTGCATTTTCTTCGCGGGCGCTGCGCAAACCCCGAGTGTCGCTACGCCCATGTTAGGGTGACACCTGGCGCTCCTGTGTGCAGAGACTTTGCCATCCTAGGATACTGCGAGAAAGGCGCCGAGTGCGACCAACGACACGTGCACGAGTGTCCCGACTACGCCAACACGGGCGTGTGCCATAAGAAAAACTGCCGATTGCCCCATGTCGACCGCGCAGGGCAGATCAGGAAGAATGCCGCCACCAAGACGGAGGGCGACGATGACGACGAGGAGTCGGACGCCTCCAGCGATGACGAAGAATACGACGCAATCGACTCGGATGACGTCGACTCGGACGATCTCGACGGCGATGAGCCGGAGCTCGTCGCTGCTGCCGGTGATGACATTGGTGACCTCGCGCGGCAGCAGGACTTTGTCCCCCTCTAATTGTTCACCCTTTTGCCCACTGACACCCGTAGCAGTTCTGTAATTGACACTTGGCTGTGATAGTATGGAATTGAATAGGATCGCTGGCAGAATCTGAAACAAGACGAAGTGAAAAAAAAAGTGAAATTGGGATGCAAGAAGAAACAAAAACAAGGAATGGAGACAGTGAAATCAGACTCGCTTTGGAATAGGTTTTTTGATACCTCATGGACCGTCTGTCGTGTACCAGTTGCAGGCAATGATACCCCTCCTCAGGATGTTTCGTATGTCAATTGATTGAAGATAGAAATGAGACTGTGCTTTGGACTTGAATTGGGCGAGCATTGGATATTGTACTCCTTAGATGATCGTGTCTCCAGGTGAGTACAGTGTAGCACTTGACTATGGTGAGGAACGAATGAAGGAAGGGAGAAATCCCCGCGCTGCAGGACCATCCACACTGCTCTGCTTCGAATCGTCATGTCTGATTTAGTCCGTACTGCACCTCCCCAGTACATACAGCATCATGAGCCAGGGGGACGGAGGGAGGGGAGATCAGGCAGTACCCATCAGTGAGTCACTCGACGGAGTGAATAGTCGGTGATCATCAGGTAGTTTGGGTAAGCTACCTTATCTTCCCTGACTTGACTTCCAGCTAGCTAGCTACTGGGTCAATTTCCATTAATCCAGCTAATTAACCCCTAATAAAGAATTCAAATAAGTATCTATGCAGTGTCAAACCCCATTCCCATACCCCCCTCCACATCCACATCGACATCCACATTCAAACCCACACCCCATGGATCCGCATTCGATGAACATGCAATGCAATGCAGGCTTCCTTCCCTTTCTTTCCTCCTTCCTATCTCTCCAAACGAACCAGGGGCCCATTCTCTCCTTCCAGGTCGGTGAGGAGATGCTGCAACCAACGGTGATGGACTCTTCCTGGCAATCTCGCCGCATCACTGGTCGCTTCATCTGATGCTCATTTGAATCCGGGGGTAAGGCCTTTCGTCTGGGTAGGGGGTGTTATTCCTACCTAACGTGCGCTGCTCCAGTCCGTCAGATGGTAACCGCGTGTTCTTGGGGTAAGAAGAGGGACTGTTTCATGTTTGCGAGGCGTTGATCTGCTGGTGGGCTGGTGGCCATCCGATGTTCCACGGAAGCTGGATGCAGTATCCGTGGGGAAATCGTCTCACACCGCACCTGCATAGGGAGTCAGGCTGTCTGTCTGTCACTCAATAACGATCCTACAGACCGTGAGTAAGGAGCAAGAGGCGGTCCGAACGCCCACCGCAACAAGCGCATAGCGCATAGCGCATACACTAAATCACACATGTTGTGCTGCATGACAAGGCGATCCGATCCCCCTGGTCCATGCAGCAATGCAGCAATGCAGCCAAATCCGTGCCTGATTCTTTCTGTCTGCTGCTGTTGCTGCTGCTGCTGCTACTTCTGCTGCTGCTACTTCTGTTCTGGCTTCTCCCCTATTTTCCTTCAGCTCTTTATCATCACCGCTCATTGGGGACAAAGCTGCTTTCCCCGCCAATCGTCATTCTTCCGGTCAATACCGAATAGCTTCCTTCTTTCCTTGGTTCCCGGGAAATGGAACCTGAAACTGCAGGACCTCGTTCACTAACTTCCTGGGGGGAAATATCGACTCTCTTCCGATAGGAGGAAGTGGGACTTGAGGGATGTGCTGACTCGGTCCACATCGTGCTGCTCCTAATTTCTCCATCCTCGCTGCGCTTGCCTCCGTCATCCTCTGCTGTTCCTGGTACCTACCGATTCATTCGTCGGGCTGACTGAACCTCTACCTCGCGTGGTTTTGATACCTTTGACTTAACTGTCAGACCCGCTCAGACGAACCGTGATTCGTGGTTACACGTAGATCAGGTCAGGTTGAAACACTCCGCAAGCTCTCTACCTTACTTCGTTCAAGGCTGATGCTACACAGGAGTCATAAATTATCGGCCTATGAGAAAGGAGAGTGTCAGGTCGAAACACACCTCCGTGGATGAACGGACACTTCCTGTCATTACTGTTCGTCCCTGGTGTCATCCATTGCAACCATCCCCGAAGTGCAGATGTTTCAAGGACCTCACCACCAATGCTTCGCATTTTCCTAGAACTTGGGGCTTACGATGTACATAGTAATGCCGGTCAATGGCTGCTCTGCCCTACGCCGTGACTAGTAGGTAGGTATCGGTAGCTACCGCGTTGGGCAACAATCACATCATGCAATCACATTCTTGATTTACGGCCAATCATTTCCAAAGCAACCGAGCAACAACCGGGCTACTGGCCTCTTTCCCGACTTGAATCATAGCATAGCTAGTTACCGGACGGCTCTGCTGATTGGGATAAGCGTTGCAGGCGGGTTTGATCGCCCGTTCGCTTTAATTGACTTATGAGGGTTTTCTCCCGTGCGTGGTTGGTGATCTACCACGGGGATGTGTGGTTACTTACATCGTAACCATCGGACTTGACTCAAAGTGCTCACGGAGCTTTAGAATATCCACTATGATACTGATACCCATTTGCTTCGAGAAAGGCGGTTACTTGGGATATCAAGCGCTCCAGCTCCACCGTTAAACATTCCCAATTGGGTCTCCCGCCGGCTCTTTGTACTGTACACCGCCAGATTGACATCTCTAGGAATTTCATTCCGCCGAGCAATTACCCGGAACAGTGGCTGTCACCGAGACTATTTTCTGGATATAATGCCGGGGACGGTGATCTCCTTTCCGCGATGGCGACTTTTTTGACGGCGGAAACTTTGTTCGACCGCTTCTTTTCCCGTACGCCACACACGCACGGCCTATTCCATCCAGGAACCAGGTCCCCACACTTTATTCCGTTGTATACCCACCACGCACGCACACCGTACCTGTTCGCCTCCCTCCCTCTTTTGGTCTTGATGCTTCCCCATCTGCACCTCCAAACATCTCCTGCCTACCGCTCGGAGAACACTCGCCTGGATCATGTTTCATGTTCACCGACTACCACATCCGATTGGGAGCTTTGGGGGGTTTTTCTTGTGCGTTGTCGACCTGTGATTTGTCTTTGGTGGGGAGGGGAATGGCGCACGAGGTGGGGAGAGAGGGCGAATCTGGCATCAGTCCTTTTTACTGTGTGGCATGGTTGTGATGTTGCAGAAGATGATCTCGGGGACTTTCTTTGGGTGGTAAGTGCGTGCATGTATGTATGCATTGCAGCAACGGTAACCGGGTGAGCAGGAGATTAGTTTGTGCATGGCGATAGAGGGGAGCTGTTGATCGCCCCCTCCCCGCCCCCTTCTTCTCTTCTAGGCACTGTGCATAGCTAGCCCTTCACGCGATTATCGCGAGAAGCGACGGGATACATACCGTAGGTACGGGTGGGATCAGGGTTAGGTAAGCATTCTAGAAGATCCCTCATTCGAGCTTTGTGCAGGGCTTGCAGCGAATCGGTCAAGCTCTGTGTCAGTTTAGAGCAGCAAATCATGTACTGTGCCGTAGTCTTGAGGCAGACAAGAGCCTTGCTTCGATCTTGACCTTCGTACGAAGGTTCGCGATACTGATATCTGATAGCCGACGGTTCGATAAACCCGAAGAACAAGGCATCCAATCAACCTGACCCCTCGAATTCGGATTCCCTATCCTTTCGATTCTCGGGAGTACCTTAGCAATTCTTAGTTGGTTTGGGGAACTTGCAAGCTCCAGTAGCCGGCTGCAGCTGTCCACCACCACGATATACCCTAAACAACGATAGGCAAAACAACTAACGGCCTTCCACATATCTGTCTACTAGGTACCTATCACGAGCCTCTCTTTCTCTCCGCGGGACCACTGGATGGACTTGACCTGAAACACCAACTCATCATCCCCGTACCCGCAGCCGTTGGAAACGCATGGGAACCTTGTGCCTTGCTTTTCGTTAGTGGGTGCATCCTGCGTTAGTCGGGTGGTAGTCACGCTATCTGATCGGTACGTACAGTATGTGAACTAGACAATCGCATCCCAGTAGAGGGTGGTAGGAGGTATGTCGCGCGTTGTTTGCTGGCTTCTAGTTGCTGGCACGGGCATGTTTGGCGCTTGGTTTTTGGGGGTTTGTGGTCTGTATGTGTGTATGTATCCCATGTTTGACAGGATGTAGGATGGGACTTGTTACTTGGGTTTGCAGGGAATGTTTCTATCATGGGAGGGGGAAGGTTATGGGCCCTACTGACAGCATAGTATCATGGCTCACCTCGTGGTGAAGATACAGTATAGAGGGTATGCTAGGGTAAACTAGAGCTATGATAAGGGGTGGTGTAGAAGGGTGGGAGCTGGCTAGCTACCGGTTGATATTCGCAAGTTAGATCTGGTATCTCTTGCCCTGGATCTGAGCTGCGATGCATGTGGATGTACGTCTGGATGTATGTTTGGATGTAGTGTAAGTGTAGTGTGTATGCATGTACTTACTGTATGTGTGTTGTGCTGCACTGTAGGAGGAAGGGGACCGGGTATCGCGGTACAATATCTTATAAATTGATAGTTGTGCCTGGGAACATGACTTTCTCTTTCTTCGGATTGTTGTTGGTTGGCGATAGATAATGCTGTGAGGATTGATGCTGTGCGGGGGTGGACTATGAGGCTGGATTACTATTGCTAGTCAGTGAGTTGATAGTTGGTGACTTAGTGCTTGGAAGTAGCTACTAGTTCTATTCCTATTGATAAAAGAGCAGATAGGGGACTCTATGCTATGTTCTTGCTCTTGACAATGTTGTTCCTGCTCCATTCCAAGGTACTGTACAAAATGCAGCATTCGCACCAACGCAACAACAGTACAGTACAGCACTGACAACCCAAACACCCACAAAATCAGCCTTACCACATTTACCCCAGTGCCAAACACCATCAACATAGCCTCCTCGTGTTTCAGATCCTGTCTCCCCAAGAACCTACAGCATAATCCTATCCCCGAGAACGAAACAACAAAGCACAGCATAACCCCACCATATCAAAAAGAACTACAGCGCAATCCCCATCCCTCTATCCAAGCACAAACCACACAAAAGCTGCACCTTTACCCCGACCCCCTGACTGCCCACTAACCAAGAATAATGAACAGGGATAGCATGCCAAATGCACGACATAAGTCCTACAGTCTTGCAACCGAGCCCGCATGTAGGTTTAGCTTTCCTGCCATCCTCGTGCAGCATCCATTTCAACCCAAAAAGCTACCTAGGTATGCTCTTAGACAGCAGCGATCTCGCCTCACTCGTGGCTCTTTCCCGGTGCCAGACCAAGGCCCAGATTGGTGGTCGGTGCCACTGCACTGCTTTTTTCTTTCGGAAGGGAGAGTTGGGATTCCGGTTGGCGATCCGAGCGGAGTGACGGCTTGGTTACTAAGTTACGGTATGGGTGCGGGTGTTGTGTAGGGTAAGAGTGGATGTAGGCTGTTAGGGGAGGGGAAGGGGGAAGGGGGA